GGGAGGAGGAGGAGGAGGCGGCGCGGGAGCGGCGCCGGCGCGAGCGGGAGAAGCAGCTGAGGTCCCAGGCCGAGGAGGGCCTGAACGACGCCAGCTCCTGCTCGGAGAGCGACCTGCCGCCACAGGAAAACCAGTAAGCAGTGCACGAGTGTACGTCCTGTGGGGACCCTGCGATGACAGGAGTTTTTTAGGATGTTTCTATCTAAAAGCATTGCAAGGGTGGTTCAAAAACTCCGCAGCGCTTGAACTAGCAGGGCCAGGCGGTGTGGAGATGGGAGGTCTCCTTTTCCTGGCCCTCGCCTGGTTTCTGCCGCAACTGCTGACAGCCACCTGGGCCCACTCCTTCAGCCTGGACGGCGCTATTAATCTTGCTGAGCTTGGGCCTCTCCCCGTAAACACGTCTGGCCGTGTTTGCTCACCCCTGCTGTCGCCCCTTTCCTTCCCCGTGCTCACGATGCTCCCCCACTCTCCTGGTCTCTTGCAGCAGCGGGACCCCGGGGATGCATCCAGCCAGCGGCAGGGAAAGGGATGGACATGAGGGCCTGTGAGCGCAGGCGTGCACAGCCCAGGGAGCGAGCGAGCAGGGTGGGCATCAGCATGGCCTTGCGCTGACTCGCTGGCGGAAAGTGCCTGGGCAGGGTCGCTCTCCAGGGAGGCTCCTCGGCAGCTCATGTAGCCCTGCTGGCTCAGCGCTTTGCGCGGGGGCCCCCAGGTACCCACCCTGCTGCTTTTCAGCAGCCAACAGCTCCTTGAGCCAGATCAGCATGAAGCTCCTGCATCTCTGAGAAACACCCCCTATTTCTAGGCATCAGGGCTGCAGAGGGGACCAAGCATCTCCTGACACCCCCTCAGAGTTCATAAAGGCAAGAAAGACCTAAATTTACCCTGTAGTTTGAATCTTTTAATTTTGAACTAGTCTTTGGGTCCCACATGCTGATTTTGTCTCCTGGGGCACTTGAACATCGTATGTCCCAAGAGCATCTGCAAAGCTACTTCCTTGGGCAGCCGCTTGCAGCGTGGGCACCGATGAGTCAATGCACACCCAGGAGCTCCAGCGTCCCAGTGATCCTTGTCTTGGATGAGAGGAGAAAAAAAAATAGAAAAAAGCCCTCCACGCAGGGCCAAGCCACATGTGATGCAGGCAGCTGTGCTGCGCAAGCCAGGAGGGCTGATGCTCCATCCGGGCGGCTGAGTGCCGGGCCGCGTGCTCGCTCCCCACGGAGCGCTTCCGTCACAGCATGGGAATGCGCCTGGGCGTGCTCTGGCCCGGATGGCGGCGTGCTCCAGCGGGGAAGCACTCCCTCCTCTCTGCTTTCCTGCTCAGAGACAAGGAGAAAGGTTTTCCCCTTCCCGGTCCAGCGTTCTCACTTGAGTTTGAGTGAGGCAAAGATGGGACCATGAGAGTCACAGGCACGGTACGAACAAGAATCCAGTGGGAAACACCTCTAATCTAACCAAGTGAGAGTGAAGTCCAGCCACGGGTGGGGGGTTTGCTCCTCGTGGGCTTGTCGGCTTGCAGCCCCAGGAGGCCAGGCAGGCAGCCGGGGCTCCGGCTTCTGCTGGAGAAACAGAGCTGCTCCTGCTTTGCTTCCCTCTTGCAATGATTCTGCTGAGAGATCCCCTCTGTACCGGGGAAAGTTCCTAAGCACTTGGCAAGAGCATCTTTCCTGTAGCAAAGAATAAGGGTTAAAGTGGGGTTTGGGAGCTACCGCTGTGAAGAAGATGCAGTAACTGGAGGGAGAGAGGAGAGGAGCAGCTGGGGGCCCTTCTGGGCCAGCTCTGCCTCTTTGCACCACTCTCCTCCTAATTTTCCCTCTTGATGTGTTTCAGCTATGACTTTAAGCCCTCCGAACCATCGGAGCTGGAGGAGGATGAGGGCTTCAGTGACTGGTCCCAGAAACTCGAGCAGCGCAAGCAGAGGTGGGTAGGACAACGGCAGAGCAAGAGAAGGTCCATGCCCCGCAGAGGGACCAAGCCCAGGAAAGCTGGAGGCCAGAGTCTTGAGCACTAGAGAGCGGGTGGGCTCCTTGCCCCTGATTTGGGATTCCAGGGCTCCATGCTTGGGAGACACTTTGCTCCTGCAGCAGTGGTCAGGAGGCCAGGGTTTGGAGGGGTGGCAACAGCGCTTTTAAGCCACCTGAATGGCTGCAATGGCTGAAATGGCCTCTACCACAATCCTGGCATCCTATAAAGCTGTTCTAAGTTAATTCTCTTTCCTGACTTGCATCAGCGCAGGGGGTGTAACGACTCCTCTTTCAGCAGCAGAAAAGAGGCAGCAAAGATGCCTGCGTGGTGCTTGTTTGCAGGCTCCTCAGTCATAACCGTGAAGCTAAGGGCCAAATCCTGCCTTAAGCTCTTCCCTTGGACATTGCGTACCTGCCCTTGACCTCTGTGGCTTGGCTCTCTCTGTAGCTTGATTTCACAGGGAGCCTTGTCCTGTGTTTACACAGCCTCTTCTTTATCCACAAGGCTGAAAAACACATGTAAGATTAATATTTACTGCTGAGCAGATAAACAGAGCTGGGCTCTTGCTTACTTTTTCCAAACACAGTAGTTAAAGCAACCAAAAAGCTTTACCTTCCCCCTTTGCAACCCCAAGCACCTGAGGACAGTGTGGACTCTCAGGGGTGGGAGCACTGAGGGCAAGTGAAGCCCGTTACAGTGGGTGGTGCCTTAAAGCTGGTGGCTGCACCTGGGCAGCCTTAGGTGGGAGGCTGGTAGGAGAAGCAGCAGTAGAAAGGACTTGGGGCTTGTGTGCACACTCACCTCCTTGTGAGAGCTGAGCCTGCCCTGGCTGTGCCCTAGGAAGTCTGCTCAGCAGCTCTGCCCCTTCTTGCTCATCTGCCTCACTGGAGGAAGAGGTTGGAGGGCTGCAGGAGGTGCAGGTAGGTTGTGCTTCTGGCTTTGACTTTCTCTGCTAAAGGAAATAATGCTGGAGCCAGGGTGTCTCAGCTCTGCTCTCTTCTAGTTAACAGAGGAGAGAGGGGACTTTGCTTTGCGTGCAGTGAGTGTGCATGCCCATGAGGTCTTCAATGGTGCTGGAGCAGCATGTTCCTCCTGCGGCCCAGCAGCTGCCTGCTAGCCATCTCTCCAGTCTTGCTCTCAGAGAACCTACAGCTGCTGCTGCAAAGCAGGCAGTTTTCTAAGAAATATGTGGGAGGAGAAGGTTCTTCTCTGTCTGAGCAATGGACAACGGCAACAACATCCTGATGTGAATCTGTGAGCCAGTGAGAACTCTAGAGTGAAGTGACTCTGAGCCCCAGTGCGCGGGCTGTGCTGCCTCTGCAAATCTAATGATTTAAAAATACCTCCCTGAAGGCTTTGAGACGCACAGGAGTTTGTAAAAAGCCCACTCTAATCTTTACCTGTGCTAAGGCTCTTGGTGACCCTGGTGGCTTTAGGCTGCTTTGTTTTTTTCTGGGTTTTCCTGGGCCTGTGTGTGTGTGCCTGGCATTGGCAGCTGTGTGATGTGACTGCTCTGATGTCTAGATGGGTGTGGGGAACCCCAGATTGGACTGCAAAAGTGACTGTGAGCTGTGGTTTAAAACTCCCAGTCACTCTATGCTTAGAGGAATGGTGAAACTGTCTGAGGGACCTGATAAGTTGTTAAGAGGCTACAAACACTATTTTGTTTCTCTGACCTCTCTTCTCCCATGTCTAGGTCTCCACGACAGTCGTATGAAGAAGAGGACAGTGGTGTGAGGGAAGCTGAAGTCAAACTGGAGCAGATCCAGCTGCATCAGGAAAGCCTGGAGGACATCCAGGAGGAGAATGTGGTGGTGAGGGAGGAGAAGAGGCTGTGCCATGAGGAAGATGATGTCCGGGAGCAACAGTCGGAGGAGGAGAGAGCTTTGCAGGAGGTTGGATCAGGAGGAGCTGTCCTGCTCTTCTTCAGAGAGTTGGTGGGAGGGCCAGGAGCAGAGACTGCCAAGAAACTCAGCTCATCCACCCACTTCACACTAATGGGTGCTGGGCCTGTGTAGATGTGGTGTTTGGGTATAATGTGGGACCTGTCCCATTCTTACCTATGGGTGTTGCTGGGGCGTTTCTATTTCTGTGGGCAACCTCTTCCTAGGGTCATGTCTCCACTTCTGGAGCAGTGGTTTATTCATGCCCACATGAAGAGGGAAGTGCTGTTAGTTCTCCTGTGGTTTTGTGAACAGTGAATAGTTCTTTAGGTGTGCTTGAATCTTAATTTTACTACTTTTTTTTCTTCAACCTTTGCTACACCTTTGAAGCACTCTGGGGTGATGCATCTGCAAATCTTGCCATGCCTCCGAGCTGAGGTTTTCTGTCTTTGCCCTTTCAGCAAGATGTAGATTTTGGTAAGCGTGAGAGACAAAACTGGAACCTGAGCTGTGTGCAAATATTTTAAGTTGCTGAGCTTCAGATATTTTGTTTTAATTGCATTTTTTGACTTGATATAGCCTCTGTATGCTTTTGCATTTGGCTGTTATGTGAACTGCCGTAGCCTGGTGGAATAAAGGGCAGCTATGTTCTCTCCTAATGGTTTCTAGATAGGAACTACTGAGATGAGAAATTCATGTTTTCCTATCTCAGTTTCCTATTTAGTAACTGATGCAAGGGCTCCTTTCCATGTCGCTCTGGAACCTTGGACCTATCAAATTTTTCTGACTACTCTTTATTATTATTTTAACTTGCATATGAGATTCTTCCAGGATGTTTCAAAATATGTGGACTCAAAGATTTTGTGCTTGAGCATTTAGTGTGAGAGAGTAAACCTAGGAGAGAGTGGGGAAGAGTCACTTCTGTTGTAATAAGTGCTCTGACCAGCTCCCTTCCTGGCTTGTTCGTTCTCTTCACTCAGGAAAAGAAGAGAAGGAGAAATGAAGAGGAGGAAGTACCAGACAAACGCCAGAAATCTCCAAGTCCTGTCAGCCTGGAGGATGAGGAGCTGTGCTCTGACCACACTGCTGTGTGCTCCACCAAGGTGCGTGTTCCCAGGGCTGCTCCATGGTCAATGACGACTATTCCCATAGGGCGCACAACTAACACCGGGGGAAGGTGACACTGTGACAATGTAGGGTACGAATTCTGCTTCCACTTTTGCTTCAGGCTAGGGCAAATCACTATCTGCTTTGTTTGTAATGTGGAAAGTCCTGTCCTCCTGCTTTGTCCACCTCAACTGCAAACTGCTTGAGAGCACGACTGTCTCTAGTCATGGCGACTGGCAAAGTGTACTCAGGTAGCTAAAGCTCAGCAAAGACTTTAGGGAATGCTGTAATAGTAAAAAAGATATATGTACCTTAGACTTGTGCATGTGATTAAGTCTTGATGAGAAAATTAAGCTTCCCTTACAAGAAAAAAAGGTGAAGCATTAGAATTTTCCTATCTAACTCTGAATAAAGTCAGAAAGAATCACTTAATTTTGTTCTGAACAGACTTGGATTCCTGGTCTCTGAAACATGGAGTCTTTTTTTATTCACATCTATCAGAACTGGCATGGTCATGTGAAACTTCAGTTCTTGGCACCACCTGAATTGCATCTTGGGTCTCCTGTTGTATTTGGTACAAATCCTTAATTCTGTGTGTGTGCTTTTAAGTATAGTAGATACAGATAAGTGGTTTCTGTAGTGTATGGCTTTCTGTCTTTCTCTCTAAGCTGTACACTCTTTGGGAAATGGTGAGGAGTCTGGGCAGCCTGTTAGCCTGCTCTTGGTATTATCCTTGCTCTCTTGCCTTGAGACTTGAGTTTCTTAGTCAATATTTCCTGGACAGGTGGGTATTAGAATGCTTCCTCTGGCCACAAGAAATAAGTAAGAAGAAAGCTTCATCATTGTTAACCATCAGATTGCTGCTCTGTGTGGAGAAGTCCATTAAAACCAAATAAAATGAGGGGAGCAAAAAATTTGGATACAGGCCATATGCTAAAGTTAGATTTGAAAGTGGGGTGGGATTGGCCACAGTAGGCCCCTGAAAAGGGACCAGTGGGAAAATGTTGGGAAATTCTTCTGTTGCCTTTCATGTACTGAAACTTTCAGGACTGCAGCCCCAAAAGGCACGTCGCTTCCTGGCCAGAACTTAACTGTTGTTGCTAGGATTAGCCTAGGGAAAGGAGTAGAAATACTGCGTGTGTGTGTGTTTGTTTTTAATGATGATGATAGAGCTCATGAATAAACAAACCTGACTGTAAAGCCTTTTGGGAAAAATATGAGCTTGAGATCTTCTCAGAGAAAGGAGGATATTCATATTCCAGCCAGTAGGGTTTTATATGAATGTTAAGAATTAAAAAATTATCACCAAGGAGGCATTTTGGTCTTGAATTGCTCAAAAATGCTGTTTCCACCAAAAAGGCAAGAACTCTGCCTAAAGACAGGTAGGTAGCATTTCCCATGGCACAGGCAGCAATATGCAGGGTGATGGCTCCTTGTTACTTGGTTGCTGATCCTTGGCTCTGTAGGACTTGCTGCTGAAAAATGTGCAACCCTTTGACTTGAAAGTGACTGTTGTCTCTGTGTTTTTGCTTTCTGGAGAGTGAAAGAGCTGTGAGGTTTGGCAACATTTGTCTTTTTCATTGGTTGTGAAGTGTTTGCTTGCCTTCCTGTCAAATACTTCTTGCACAGGACACAGGAGCATCTTGTGCAAAATTCTTCCCTGATGGCTTGACTTGAAGAGCTGCCTTGCAAGAGGCTCCAAGTGCTAAATTGTTCTGTATTGTGTAGATGAGCTGCCATAATTCATGTCTGTGCTGTTCTTATGCTTGGCTCCTCTACCACCTTGGCTGATGGTACCTATAGCTTATTTTTCCCCCCTGCCTTTCCTCACCTAATGCACTGTCTCCCTTGGCTATAGCAAGAAAACCAAGTGTTTGAGAGAAGGCATTGCCCTGGTTGCTACTTGAGCTGTCAGCCCCAGTTATGTGTTGGCTGAGCTGCTTCGGTGTACTGGAGTTTTTGAGGAATTTGTCTTGCTTGCCTCCAAAAACAAAGTGATGCTCCTCAACTGTCTGTGGCCTGGAGTGACCACAATATTTCTGCCCAAAACTTGGGTGAGGGAACACAAAAGTAATGTGGCTGGACTACAGACAGCCAAGGCAATGTATGTCCATCCAAGGTCCATGGAGCAGTAACATTCTTGTTTTTATTTTTTTTTTTTTTTCCTCTTCTTTCTTCTTTTTTGTTCCAACCGCTCAATAAAGAAAAGGTATCATTGGGGGTGTTGGAGTTATGATGAAGCAGATGCCTTGTTTCAAATGCAGGATCACTGAGGGCCCTGCTGATTGGGTGGGTGGTGATGACAGATGGCCTGTGGCCCTCAAAATCCTGCCTAAGGCACTGGGGTCCTTCTCACAAGGCAGTTGTCTTATTCCTTTGTTTTTCTCTCTAGTAACAGCATAAAGAAGAGCCAGCCTCCGCTGCCTGTATCGAAGATAGATGATAGACTGGAGCAATACACACAGGCCATTGAGGTGAGTGGCTGTATTGCACTGACCCAACTACATCCCCACCCTCCAAAGAGGCTTCTTCACAAGGCGTCATTCTCCTGACCTCCTTCTTAGTCCCACTGTCTGCAAGGTGACAACCAAGTTGCCTCTCCTCAGATTGGAAAAAGCCCATTTCCTATCTCTAGAGACCTCCAAGGGGATAAAGTGGACGTCTGTGAACAACCTCATCCTCATTTCCTCATGTTCCCTGACTACCGGGTGAAAACTTCTGGCAGGGCCATTCGAGTCTCCCTTTGTATCCTCTCATCCCTGAGGACCTCCACTTACAGAGAAAATATGTACTTAGACTTTAGATGTCCCCTGATGGTATTTATTCTCTATTTATTTTCCAGACATCCACAAAGGCTCCAAAACCCACCCGTCAACCATCCCTTGACATTCCCACCACAAGCATGGTGGTAGCCAGCACAAAAAGCCTCTGGGAGACTGGGGAGGTTGCAGCTCAGTCCTCCGTGAAGTCACCAACTTGTAAGGTAAGGGATTTGTATGACCTACCCTCGACAGGGTACAGGAGAAAAGGAATGGACCGCTGCCTGCAACACAATTTATGCTTGCCCTGTATGAGTGTAATATTAGCCTGTTTATATGGCTCATGGATTATGCTAATCAGCAGTGGACAGCATGGAGCCAGGGCTTTAAAAGCCTTGACATTAGGGACTTGGTTGCTTTTGTCAGTGTCTATCACCTTATACTTAAGACCTTAGGTTCATCTCTGCCAGTTCTGAATTGTTCCTCACTGGTACAGCTAGGGAAATGTCTGAAGCTGTTTAACCCTCTGACTTGAAAAGAGAATGAAGTCAGTTGGTGGGGAAATGATGCAACTTTTATCATGGGGATGCAACTGAGCTCCAGTTTCTGATCACTAAGTTGGATCTGGAATCAAGATGATAATTCTGTAAACTTGAAAATGGCAAAGGATACTGTATATTGCTCTCTTAGTAACTTTCTCTGGCCCCTGCGAGCAAGGGTAATTCTATAACACATGGCTTGCAAATCTATGTTTATGTGAGCAGAATTCCTTCCACATAGCGATGTCTTGATGTTAACATGTCTTAAATAGTTAACAAATTTAAGAAAATAAACATCTTGCATCTCTGATCCGATCTCCTGTGGAAAAGTGTGAGAGAGGAGAAAGCCAAAGATATATTGGGAATAGAAAGAAGTTTTCTTAGTTTTGAATTCTAGCTCCAGCTGTCCTAGGTCAGGCAATGTGACATTATGTATTAAAAGAGGTCACATGCGTGGGCTTGGAAGGGATGTGAAAAAACACATGTTCAGCAGCATTGCCAGTGAAGGTTAATGAGAACAGCCTCTTCTCAGGATATTGTGGCTGGAGACATCGTGAGCAAAAGAAGCCTTTGGGAACAGAAGGGCAATCCCAAACCTGAGACCAATATCAAGGTAAGTCAGTACCTGTGCAAATAATGAAATACTTCCTCTTGTGAAGAAAAGATGTGTATTGATGGAGGTTGCCTGTATCCACCAAAGCGTTTGCATATCTAGATCATGAGAGAGCTCTTCACAGCAGTTAGCTGCTATAGCTTCAGTCCTAATAAAAATGGTGGCAAATTTATAACTAGCGGTACTGAAAGCTGTCTTGAATAGTGCATTATGCCAATTAATGGGCTGGGAGTCCTGGTTTTCTAGACTAAAATTGAACTGCAAGTATGAGGGACTCTTCTCTGTTATGCTGCTTAATCTTGATTTCAAAGAAACACCCAAAATTGAGTGCAACTCAACCTAAGACAGTATTAGTGTTTGCAGACGGATATGAGGTTTTGTGCCCAGTGATATGTTTGTGGACATGCATGTTAAAACGCTGGAAACAGCTGCTGTCCTAATTGTCCAGACTTGCCAAGAGATCAGAGTTATCTGTTATTATGTCTGTTACCTGCAGACATTTCTTGAAACTGCTGCTGGCACTATGCAGTGAATTAAACCAGTATTTGCTGTGGGTGAAAGCAGCCCTGCAAGAACACTGGCCCAGAGGGCTCTTTGAGCCCTTACTGCAACACCATGTTGCACCTTTCCTTCCCTATTATTTGTCCAGTACCTGCCATACTGCCCTGCACTTCCAGAAACAGATGATCTGTCTTTCTGTCTGTGCAAGTTATTTGTGGAAGGAATAGGAGAGGAGCCCAAATTCCTGTGGGGCTCTTGGTGACTGTCCTTAGGAACTAGTAGCTGTCCTATATAAAATGAAGTCAGAGAATCTCATGTGCTCCCCTAGTTTTGGGTATTTGATTCTGAATGCCTATCTGAGAAGGAACAATGCTGACTCTGGCTATTTCTTTCTGTCCTGTTCAGTCCACTCCTTCTGGGAAAAAGTATAAATTTGTTGCAACAGGCCACGGCCAGTACAAGAAAGTGCTGATAGACGATGCAACAGAGCAATAACGTGCCTGGAGAACCCATTAGCCAGGTAGGTTAGTTGTGACCTTGTGCTACATAATAAACTCCTGGTAGTGTTCTGGTGAGATGTTTGGGTTGTTTCTGCCAAGTGAACTTGGATGAGTTGTAAGGTACCATATGGTAACAGCTGGAGCTCTGTTCACAATCAAGTAACTGACTTTGCGAGCTGGAAGGAAGTGGGCACCCAGAGACCCACCTTCTGATACTCTTAGGGTGCTGGTACCTTCTAATCCTGAAGTTTGAATGTTTCCAGGATCTAATTCAATGATTTACTGAATTAATTAGAGGAAAAAAATTATAATAATTTTAGTGCCTCTTGGAACTGGCCTGCAGTAGGGTTGTAGCAGGGGGGGAATGAACATCTCTGCTGGATGGCCCAACACAGCAGGAAGGACTGTGCCCTGGTGCATAGCTATAGGGGAGGAAAAACTGGGGTGATGCCTTGGGGCCCTCTTAAAATGGTCTTTGAATTGTGTGTGCTTATTGTGCTTGTGTTAGTGGATATCCCAATGTCATCCCAAGTGAATGAGGGTTGTAGCAGAAAGAGGGAATTGGCATAGAGGGATGTGATAATTTGTTGGATCCAGCTGGGCAGCCTCTAGCACTAAGAGGGAAGGATGTTGGGTGGAGAGGGGAAACAAGCATTTTATTTTTCTTTTTTCTTTTTCTACAATAATTAAAACTTTATTTCATAGCCAAGCTTATAAATAGCGCTTTCTGCTACAAAGCACCTTCTTTGTTTCTGAATTCTTCCAGGACTGTTCATTCTTTATTTTTTTATTTTTTTCCAAGGAACTGGCTTAGCAGTGCAGCAAACTCTCTCTCTTTTTGTACTCTCCTTCAGGAAAGAAGCTCTCATGAAGGCCATTTTGAAACAGGCAACAGTACAAACCCAAGTCTGTCTATAATTACATTTTTAGATGTAATGAAGAAGGGAGCTTGAAGGCCTGTACCTCGTCTTGATCTCTGCTGCTTACAGAAACCAGTTCCAAAGTATTCTCTTTCACCTGCCCCCTTCTTCCTTCTGAAATCTGTTTTGATGCACTGAGTAGTATCCTGTTGAGCTTTGATTCTAATAGCCAAGTGTTTTAGCAGGTTTTGGTTGTCCCACCTGAGTTCCTGGAAGCAGCTCAGAGGAAATAGCTGTTGGCTCTGGTCTTTTTTGAGAGTCTAGAGGCTGCAACAGGGCATCCTCTAAGATCTACTCAGTGCTCCAGGTGGCTACTGCACAGCCCTGATGCACTATGGACTTGCTTACAAGAAATGATTTCTTTGGCTGAAGACAGCCAAAAGCACTGGAATAGCGTGAGGATTTGGGCTTGTTTCTATTCTTGGATTGTTATAATTGGCTGCTTTATATGCTGAGAGGTCTCTGTGCACCAGACTTTCTCTATCCCTCTATTGCCCTGTTAACTATGCTCATCCTTTCCCCGCCTGTTGCTGGGTCTGCCATCAAATAACAACCTAAATCTGTGCCCAGAAGTGTTCTCCTTCACTTCCTCTGCCTGCTTGGCACAGCCTACAACATGCAAAGGCTCCTAATAGCAGGTCTCTGCCATGGACTTTCTGTTGCTCCGGTCTGTTTGCTTGCTGTGTTCTTGTTCCTGCGTCTCTGTGACACTGGCTGGACCTGCCTTGTTCTTCTGCTTGTGTTTCTCAGCTAAACTATGCGGTCAGCTCTGCCTTTCTCTAGTTCCCATGGTGGGCATTGCTGGAGCCACAAATGGACCCCTTGGTCTGCACCCAGCAGGTACCCATGGACCTTTCCTCATCACCATGTGAGCAACTTGCTGGTTTGTTCTGGGCCACCATTGCTGTGGCACAGAATGGGTTAAAATGCTTTCAAAAAACATCCTCTCTTTCCAAATTTGTGCTTAGCTGTAATCAATATCAGTTTGGCTTGGTGCTAGTAGCATGGCTCTTGAGGGCTGGGTTCTGGGTATGTGTGTCCACCCATCTGTGCCCTAGGCTCTAGCGTGTCTGCTGTTATGGGGCAACTGGTGCATTTCTCTGTTAAGTTTCTGGTGCATTTTTGCTTATTTTTTTTTCCCCTCAAGCATGATAAGGGAGTTTACTGCATGCTAGGAGGAAAAAAAAGGGCTGCCAGCTGAGCAAGTCTCACTCAAGGAATGAACTCTTGGCCACTCCTGAAGAAGGTCATAAATAGCAGATGACTTCAAGTTGCAACCAACAGAAGTTAAAAATGGGGATGGCATTTCAAACTCTTTTAATGGAAAGTGAGAGGAGATTGCTTTTGAGCCAGTCCTGTCCTGGAAGGGAGGCCACTGCCAAAACTCCCATATAGTGGGTGCAATTACCTGTGAAGTTTTAGGCTGCTGTAGCCCTTCCTTGCAGGGAGAGGAGCAAACTCTTACACAGTAAATCTGGCAGCTTGCTGATATTCCCTGCAAAGGCTGATCCAGCAGTCACTCCTGATTGCTGATCTGTTTCCAACCTGCTAAATGCTCCTCCCTATCAAACTGCTTTTATACTAGCTCAAAGACCCTGACAGAGTCAAACGACACCCATTTTCAACAGGAATCTGCAGAGTAACAGATTGTTTTGCGCTCTCTGAAAAGGCTACTGTGAAGCAAAATACTAGAAAATCAGCAAAGCAGGGCAGTCGGAACCAACCTCATACACATACATACAGTCTTTCCTGTGGTATTGCCCTTTCCTGTTTTTATCCTTTAGGATTTAATCTCTACTGATGTAGTTAGGCTTCATTTTGGGGCTATTTGAAGTGTTTCTATTTCACCATGTGACTATTCCTAGCTTTTCCTTGAAGAACTGGAGGTTGGAGGAGAAGAGGGGAGGGGAACTTGGGCTTGTTTTATCTCTTTTCCTCCCTCCAACAGGGAAGTGGGTACAAAACAGAAAGAAAGGAGACTACCACTAAAGGGGAAACTTCTGTGAAGGTCTGACTGTAGTAGAGTTGTTCTTTATAGCACCATTAAACTGGAAGACTTCAGAAAGGTAGAAGTGGCCTCTTCCCCCTGTACCTCTTCTAGTTTGGCTTGGGGAAATTCTAGCCACCTCCATATTCTCTGCATGAGAAGAAAATGCGAAGAGCTGTGCATCAGATGTCCTATTGAGGCCCTACATAGCTAATATAGGATTGGTATGTTTAAACACTCCACCACATCTCAAATTCCTTTGAGAAACAGAAATAGCTGCTCACCAGTATTTTTGTTCCCAAAGCCTGGTGGCTCTGGAGTGCTAAGGGTGAACACTGGAAATGGACTGGCCTATCGCAAAAGACTTGCTAGACAGAGAACTGAGGATTTTGAAACTGGAATGGCCAAGGCATGTACCAAGAAAAATGTGTCCTGTCCTCAGCCTCATCGGTCCTCTACGCACTAAAATTTAGCAGGCTGATGCAGAATGACTTTAAATAGTGTAATGCCCAATTTTCTAGACAGGGAAGTCTTACATGAGAGCCAGAAGGATTAGATCTTGTGTTGTCCCTTGACTTTCTCATATGAACAGACACACTTCCATCTTGCTCTGGGCAGCCAGGTGCAGGGTGTCTTCTGCTTGCCCTTAGAGCAGTGAAGCTAAGGGGATGATGTGTGGCCTTTCTGAGAGTTCAGTCTGATCCTCTCTAGATGGGTAGGAAATGGAGCAATGCAGATTCCTCTGCACTCTCTCTCTATAGCTCCTCATGTTTCTAGGACTTCTACTGTTCTTAAGCACAAAATAAGAAAAATAAATTCACATTCCATCACTTTCCTCTAAACTCTGTGTGTGTGTTTGTGGTGTGTGCGTGTGTGTGTCCCCCCCCCCCCGCCCTACAGGCAATTCGTCCCTTTTGCAGTGTGCCTTTTCTCTCTACACCATGTCATTCCATACAATGTTTGTAGTAGGCTCTTTTAAAACAAAATGTGAATGCTTGCCTACCTTTCCTGGCTCCTGACCTATGGATGTGGTATGTTACACATTTAAGTTCATATACATACAGAGTAGCCCTTGAATCCTCAGTGCAAGGCTGCTGGCTCAGAGGGGTTTTATTTTATTCTTTTTTTTTTCCTTATACTTGGATCCACCTGGCACAAAAGGTAGTTGTAGGTACTCTTGCTTGGTGTCCTGTAGGAACTTCCAGAGATGTGGGCCTGATGAAGCGGCTTGGCTTCAGTTGACTGCCCATCCTGATGCCATTTGGTTAAAGCTCCTGGTGCGCTCTTCGGTCACTTTAGGTCCATACCGGCCTACCTCAAACATGGTGGTGATCTTTGTCATGGGTTTGGCAGCCAGCTCCTTCAACTTGCGAGCGTCAAAGCGTGGTTTATGGAGAAGGATGGGTAGGCGGCGAGGGAAAGTGAAGCCTTCTTCCTTCCGCACTCTTTTTTCTTCTGTTTGCTGCTTCTTTCTGACTGTCATCTGGTATAAAATGGCATCCCACATCCTGGTGGCCCTTGATTTAACTAGCTGGCTGTCTTGTCTGGTGGTTGTTTGAGAGCTGTCTTTCCTGTGGCTTGTGTCCTCCTGCCCTTGCTTGCCTAACTCCGGTTCTGGGAAGCTGGGTGCATCTGGCTGTACCATCAAGTGCTTCCTCAGGCGATGCCAGCCACTAATGCTGGCTCCAGGAGGTTTTGTGTCTTCTGCTAACAGCCGTGTTGGCTCAGCTTTGGAGGATGGGCTGGGGGTCGGCTGAGGGGGGATGGCCTGTTCTCCCTTTGTTTCTGTGGGGGTAGCCCCTGTAGTGTGGCCTTGTGTTGGGGTGGCTGCCTCTATAGGTACCTGCCTCCGAGGAGAACTGGCTCTCTCTGATCCAGATATTTTGGTGCTGCTTCCAAGCGTTGTTGACTTACTGGAGAGGGCATCAGAGGTGCTGGGTTTGGGATAAGGGCCTTTGACAGACTCTTCATGTGGTGCAGGCCTGGGAGCTAGACTAGGAGGTTCTGCCTTTGCAGGAGAAAGTGGGTGAGGTGCTGGGATGGCAGCCATGGTCTTGCTGTCACCGACTGGGGCAGGTGTCTGTCCTGGAGAAGGTTCAGAGTGGCTTGTTTCGCGTGCAGGAGAAGAAGGTCTCTTGTCCTCATTGCTGCAGGCTGCTTGGGTCTGGTTTGATGCGGATGTCTTAGCCTTGGGTGCCTTGACACTGTGGAAGTAAGTGTGCATCTTGGTGACATAGGTAACCTCTGGCGCCCTTTCTGTACTGGCTGCAGTGGAAGAAGAAAGCTGGGGGAAAATGAATATAGACGAGTCTCGTGGAGAGGGAAGCTGGGCGCTGGTGCCTTCAGGTTGCTGTGGAGTCTTGGCTGGCTTGTGCTCTGGCAACGTGGTGAGCCTGAGGTGTTCAGCAATGCGCCTTTGCTCAGTGACAGTCAGCGTGAAAGGCTTGCCCTTCCGCAGAGGGGACGGATTGCGGTGGGTGACGGGCTGGATGGGGAAGCGGGATGGGAGGCTGATGGAGGGGCCTGTTGCTCTCTTGGAGGTCTCTGCCGGGGCAGCGCTGCTGTTGTGCTCCAGGTCGGGGCTGGCCTCATTCACAGGGGAGAGACTGGACCGAAAGGACTTGGCTTGCTCTGAAGCTAGCATGGCGTTCTTCTTGGCTGCTTTCTTCAGGAGTTTCTGGAGTCGCAGGTTGTCCTTCCCCGGCTTTGGTAGGGTGGGAGGGGGAGACATCTGGGGGCGAAGGGGCGCAGGCTGCACAGAGGATGATACAGTTATCAGCATTGTCATCTCCTGGAGAAAAAAACACAGCTTAAGGTTGATATGGGCTGGGCACTGCACCTGCTTCTTACAGAGCTAAATCTTGTGATGATTTTAAAGTATTCTTGTGTAAAGCCTTCTCTTTCTCTCTCTCTCCAAAAGTTGTAAGCATGGAGTTAGTATATAAAGAGCATCAAAGCACGTGTTTTTCTTGTCCTCGCTAGTTATCCTCTGCTAGTCTTCAGGATGATGGGGCAGGACAAGAAATGTGCTTGGAAATGTCTGTATGCCATACCTGGGGTCCTGCTCCTGGTCTTAGCAAGAAATACCCTTAAGCATTCTATGATCATAAAGGTTGGAAGGGACCTCCAGAGGTCATCTAGTCCAACCCCCCTGCACACCCAGGGTCACCTTATAGACACTGATTAGATCCCCTCTCAGCCTTCTCTTCTCCAGGCTGAACAGGCCCAGCTCCCTCAGCCTCTCCTCATAGGGCAGATGTTCCAGGCCCCTGATCATCCTTGTAGCCCTGCGCTGGACTCTCTCCAGCAGCTCCACATCCCTCTTGTACTGTGGAGCCCAGAACTGGACACAGTACTCCAGATGTGGTCTCACCAGGGCTGAGTAGAGGGGCAGGATCCCCATCCTCGACCTGCTGGAGACGCTGCTCTTGATGCGCCCCAGGATCCCATTGGCCTTCTTGGCCACGAGGGGACCCTTCTGCCTCGTGGTCAACTTGTCGTCCACCATGATGTCCAGGTCCCCCTCTGCAGAGCTGCTCTCCAGAAGGTCAGTCTCCAGCCTGTCCTGGTGTCTGGGTTATTCCTCCCCAAGTGCAGGACCTTGCACTTGGCCTTGTTGAATTTTATGTGGTTTTTCACTGCCCAGTTGTCCAGTCTGTCCAGGTCCCTCTGGATGGCAGTGCAGCCCTCTGGGGTATCAGCTACTTTTCCCAGTTTGGTATCATCAGCTTAGAGCTCCTTGGGAGCCCAGACATCCATGTGTTGGCAAGTTCTACCAGGATTTGGAACAAAATGTCAAGAGAAACAGCAGATCTGAAATTTTGAAGCTTTGAAACATTCTCCAGAGACATAAATCGGAAATGTTTCATGGCTTTCCAAATTCTAGTTATTAATGATCTGATAAAATGTTATATACAGCAGAACAGCCATAAACTGCATGGGTCACTTGAGTCAAAGTCAATACCAGCCTTGATTGATTTCAGCTGACAGAAAGACACCCCTGTGAAATGCAATACTTGAGAGCTGCGTTTATCTTGTGAGAAAGTGCTTTGTCACCACACCGACTAGCTCTCACTGGTGTTTCCTTGCTGCATTCAGCATTACAGCAACCTCCTCCTACACTTATCAACCCTTAAGATAAAACCTTGTTTCCCTTGGAGAGCATTACCACTGTCCTCTCTGTAAGACTATGTCTTCAGTGAAACAGAAATAGGCTGTGGCCTGATTGGATCTTATATCTGCTTGGGGTCCTCTATTTCAACCATAAATGAGAAACATTCCACCATTTTGATGAGAGTCCATGGACTGCCTTTATTACAAGATGAGCTGTGGTCTAGGAGTGCTGGTGAGCCATTCTGGCTTGTTGTGCTGGGAATATGAGAGAGGCAGAGGAATGAACTTCCCGATTACTGACCAGCAATCCTGGAAATGCAGCTTCCTAGGTGGGCTAGAGCAGGATCTTGTCTGGACTTTGCTGCTGACTGTGCCAGATGCCTTTAAGGAAGGCAGCGGATCTGGCCATGACAGGCTTGGAGTATAATCCAGCTGCATCAAGAAAACTTTCCCTCTATTTCTAAAGTTAAAGACTCACTTATGACTTGAAGATTTGTGGTCTCTTAAAGTAAGCCTTGCTATTATCCAAGCACCCCAGTTGGCTTGAAATCAGCCATTCTGTGGGTATTAAAAACAAACAAGCAAGAACCTGCTGGGTGCTGAGTTACGCAGCACGCAACTCCAGTGCTGAAGCCTGTGTGTTTGAGGGACAGTTGTAGGGGATGCGGCTTTGCAAAAGGAAACCATCCTTAATTTGTCTTCCCTTGTCATGTTTGGTTTTGAGTCACCGCCAGAGTTTTGTGCAGTTAGGATTGTTTCTGAAGCAAGTAAGACGTTGCAATAATGAAGCAAAGGCAAGGGGAAAGGCAGATGTGTATCACTGCTGCTGGAAGGGCCAGAGCTGAAAATCTGGTATGCAAAACCTGCCTGAATCTTGATCTTTCTTGGTTTGTGATAAATTGGAGGAAAACAAAAGTAGAAGCTGAGCTAAGAGGCTTTAAAGGGTTAACTTTCCCTCCTGCTGATTGCATTCCTGTGGGTGCAAGGGAAGTCACCCATTCTTGGATTCCAACTGTTCTGCTGGACTCTTGAATTGCAATTGGCTCCAAACTGAGAAGGGCAGGGAGAGCATCAGCATGGAAGAGTCATTTATTATCCAATGGAAAAATAATTTGTGTGCTGGAGCCCATCCGTGGTACCAGCTGTCCTGCAGAGAGGAGATCAAGAGCTGCAGGAACCTGATACTGCCACAGATGGTCCCAAACAGAGCACCGTGGTTGCCAAGGGCTGGAGGAACATGCTCGATGCTTTCGTGACTCTTGGGCATGGAAGGAAGCCCATGAATTGCCTCCGTGGGATGAGGAGGCCGAGTCGAGCGTGTCCTTCTTGCTGCCTGGGCAGCTGTGACCTCTGCTGGAGATGAGCTGGAGGCTGCTCGGGTGGCGAAGCCAGCGTGAGCACTGCAGGGCTGAACTGTGGGGTACTGAGAGGGGGTTTTCAAGAAGCCACCATCTCTCTGCAAACTTGGCTCCTGCTCTGTTATGGCCATGTTGCTTGAGTTTTGGCTGCTCGCCATCGTAGAGATGTTGTGGGCAGTGGAGAGGAGAGATTCACATGGCTCTTGTGACGTGGATTGGAGAAAACCCTCTTTCTGCATCTTGCCCTAGCAATTAATCTTTATGGTACAGGATATTGCTCATGGCAGAACAAATGGTATGTAATAACCTTGTTTTTTTCTTGTCTTACAGCTGAGCTTGGTCCTGGCTCAATGCAACCCTCAATGCCAATATTTCCTCCGCTCCAAGGAAGATACTTAAAGGATGTTTTTCTTCTCTTGCCTGAAGTCAGTCTGGTCCAGTACAGCCCAAATCTCCTCTCTAGGTGTGAGTGACACCTGCACTGCCTCCAATCAGGTGAAAGACAAAATCATCTCGTGGAAACATCCCTATTTTAACCTTCTAAGTGACTCTGGCTACTTTTTTTCTTTTAATCTGCCTCTGCTATGGCACTGGGAGGCTGTGACTCTGCTTCCTCTCTTCTTTATCAAGCAGTTGAAGAGAAGAAGCTACTGACCTGCCCAGCTGGCAGGTATTTTGCTACAGAATGAAGAATTTCTAATTTTGTGATCCTTGATGGCTCAGTGATGGGACAGAGGAAGCTGAATAGTTACCAAGTAGTCTGTTTGAAAAGAGGGCAATGGGCAGATCCTGAACATCAGGAGCCTGTGAGGATCTCTGGTGACCACCACTAGTGCCAACTGTGGTCAGTCTCCCCCTGTTTACAGCAGTCTTTCCCTTGGCAACATCTATGCTGAGGGATGTCATCTACTGGTCTCTCTGCATGTACATTAAGGCCAAATTGCATTTAACCAAGTCCTGTTTTCCTTAGTCATCAGATCACCATCTTAATCACAGTTGAGTACCCATGCCAAAAATATTCCTGCCACTCTTCCACCTCAAGAGTGGCCATAGATGCTTAGCTTCAGACAGCTGCTGCCTTCCTTTCCCTGCTAAACAGGGATGTGGGACTGTGGCTTCTTCCAGGTGTGCAGTGTCCATTACTGGCATCTTCTCCCTTCCCTGGGAAGGGATTTGCTTTTCCTCTGACCTGGGCTCTGCTGTGAGGAACTGAAACACTCGTTTCTGAATGTCAAAGGCAGGTGTGCTGAAAACCTGCAAATCAAGTTCCTGGAGAAGGACTGGATATCTGGGAAATGACCAGAATTCCCTTATGCTGGAAGTTGTCCAGGTGAAAAGGCATCCTAGTGCCTCCCTGGGGAGGTCGGGGCTTGCTGTGACGGTGGGGGGAAACAACCCCTGGGGATGGGCATGCTGATTTCTAGGCTTTGGGCCCCAGTTCTGTAAAGCAGCTCCCAGGGCTCTTCCTGAGCCCTCATGTCTTTACACTTCATGTTGTTAGCACATTCCTAATCTCCTGTTTAAAATCTGTTCATGTCCTCTTCCCATGAAAGCTGTCAACATAAATTTGCAGCTTGTTTCTGCCCTCCTAGAGGAAGGGCAGCTTCTCTCTAATCCTGCATTGGTTTGCTTTTTGCTTAAATTTACTGTGTGTCCTGGATAATTTTTTTGTAATCATTTAATAAAATTTGAGGAAGATGTTATAACAATGGCGACTTAGAGGTTTTTTTTTTTTTTTTTTGATAAAGAAATTTATACATCGAGGATGATTTCCCAGACTGGTTTCCCAGGGGCCTTTCCTCTGAGTCAAAAGCTGCAGAAGAAACTCAATCGGACTCAATGCCTAGAGGAAAAGGAGCTTGATGTACGTTGGCAGGGGCCTTTCCTCCATTTAGGAGGATTCCTGGCTACTTCCTGCCTTCCCCATTGTTACTGGGGAAAATCCCAGTAAGATGGGAAAGATCAAGTCTTAGGCAAGATTTAAAACAGTGTACAGAAGAAGAGTTTATCTAAGAAGTGATCAGATAGCTGGCCAGCTAAACCTCCTGCTGCTTCTAACAGATGGATAGAGTCTGGATTCAACCAAAATCACTGCAGCTGGCAGCTACAAAAATTCTGTATAACCTGCTTTGGCACTTGAGATGAGGTCAATATGGATGTCTCACAGGAACCCAAAACTCTAATGAACGGACTAGCATAACTGGAACCATCCAAGGAGGGAGTGGGAGGGTGGGAAACTGCCTGACCTTTCAGGAAGGTGATCTTCCACGTAACAGCACTTGTTTTGTGTAGAAACATCATCTAGGTTGGGCTATTCCTAACATGCGTTTTTCAAGAGCATTAGAAAGGGGAAAGCTGGTGGGACTCTAGTAGCTCCCAGGTTATTTCTAAATGACAAAAATCTATTGTGGACATCTTTTTGCTTATTTGATACCCTCACCCTCTCTACCTTCTGCTTTAGCATCTCTTGGAATGCGGAGTTCAATGAATCTATGTTTTTCAGAGAGCGATGAGGAATGTGGCAATATCTTGACTTTCTCAAGCCTTTCTCTTCCAAGCTGGGGCTTTGAAATGAGGCCAGAACAGTAGCAATGTGATGTATGAAAGTGTCCTGGCTGAAGGTTGAAAAGAGCTCTTTGGCGCCATGTGTGCTGCTGGTGTACTAACTGGTTGGGGACTCCCTATTATTTTCTACTCTGTCCTGCAGTTGGCTGGCAGGAAGGAGGGCCAGAAACTACTTCTGTTGCTGTGCCTTGCCAGTCTGGCTAGTGTGGAAAAGGACCAGAAGGCTGCTTGTGTGAAAGTGCCCCTCGAAGGAAGGTTCATTTTCAGGGTGTGTTTTCCCCTTTTAAAGTTCATGTGGAGCTAGATGTGGTTTCAACAGAAACAACTGCTGTAATCCAGGTTCTGGCTGCAGGAAAGAACTGAGCAGATTGCAAGGAAATGCTCTGGAGAAGTCAGAGCTCTCTAGCAGCGGTGGGAAACCAGAGGCAAAGTGGCTTGAAGCAGCTGTGTGTAGCTTTTTATGAGGTACCTGGCTCTGCCAGAGGAAACTTTTCCACAATTAAATTAACTTTACAAGGTGCTATTTCTCCTCTCAAAGTAACGTGGTCAGTGCATGCAGCCAGTGGCAGTGTGGTGGGGAGAGTGGCAGCAGGCTTACTGCGATGCTGAATAACCCCTGAAGAAGGGCCTGCCTGTTCCAAGCCTTTTGGATGGTCATTTTGGCAATGTCCCAAGGGGAGGCAGGTTCCTATCCCTCCTCAATGGTAAGTGCAGAGCACTGCAGCAGGTTGCATTGCTTGGTGAGTCACCTTCTCAGGTGGGTGAAGAACAGGCTGTGCTTCTCCCTGGTGTTTGCTGGCCTGGCTTATGCTTTAGCTGCCTAGTGTGCTTGCCTTTTTTGTTTAGTATGTGTCTCTGTGTTTTTTGGTGGTTTTTATTTGTGTGTGTGTTTTTTTTTTTTTTTTTCCTTCAGTATTAGTGTTTCTGACAGCACTGGTTGCAGTGCTGCTGTCATGCTGAGACCTTGGTTCCATCGCTCTCTGGGTATTTTGGGTGTGAGAAGGGCAATCTGAGGTACTGGGAGAGCCTTGCTCACAGGGTTGTGGTTACCCCAAAGCCTGGTGGGAAGAGTGTCATTTCTGTGAATGAAAACCAGGATGGCTTTTTGAGTGAGAGATTTCTTCCCCCTGCTTTTTTCCTTCCCTGTCTGCTGAGAGGGAATGTCCTTTTGTACAGTATCCACTCCTAAAGGAAGACCTGGGCGCTATAATAATTAAATTGTAGCTACTCATATTTCTGTAGCAGGCCTTAGGGCTGCTTTATTATTATTTTTCCCAAAAGCTTTAATGGATGATTCTACAAGAATATCTGAGAGATGGAATTGAAAAATGCAGCCCATAAGCATTTACAGGCCACAAACAGCATTACTAAAAAATGGAGAAAGCTTAGGTCAAAAAGAAATGGTTTTAGTATTTTTTTTTCCTCTGTTCTGCAGAGTATTGAACAGCATTCTCCGTTTCTGCAGAGCATTGATGATAACTTTCTAACACAGATTGTGGAGGAGCCAGTGAGGAAAGGTGTGCTACTGGACCTCATGCTAACAAATAGAGAGGGACTTGTAGGAGATGTGAAGGTGAGGGGTAGCCTTGGCTGCAGTGATTATGAGTTGGTGGAGTTCAGGATCCAACAAGGAGGAGACAGGGCTGTAAGTAGCCTTGCAACCATGGACTTCAGGAGGGCCAACTTTAGTCTCTTCAGAGACCTCCTCGGAAGAATCCCCTGGGCTAGAGCTCTAGAAGGAAGGGAGGCCCAAGAGAGCTGGTCTGGTTTCAAGCAGCACTTCCTCCACGCTCAGGAGTGGTGCGTCCCTTTGAGTAAGAAGTCAGGCGGGGGGCAGGAGGCCTGCGTGGATGAGCAAGGAGCTGCTGGCAAAGCTTGAACAGAAGGCGGCACTATACAGAAAGTGGAAAAAAGGACAGGCCCCCTGGGAGAAATACAGGAACGTAGTCAGGGAATGCAGGGATGTGACGAGGATAGCCAAGGCACAATTGGAATTAAATATGGCAGGAGATGTTAAAAATAATAAGAGCTTTTTCAAATATATCAATGGTAAAAGGAAGATTAGGCAAAATGTGGGTCTGCTGGTGAATGGGGCGGGGTGCCCTGGTTACGAAACACACTGAAAAAGCAGAGTTATTGAACACCTTCTTCACTTCAGTGTTTACCAAGGGCAGCCCTCTGGAATCCCAGACCCTAGAAACCAGAGAAGGTGCCTGGAGAGAGGAAGACTTGCCCTGGGTAGAGGAAGATTGGGTCAGAGAGCTCTTAGGGAAACTTGACATTCACAAACCCATGGGCCCTCATGGGATGCACCTGAGAGTGCTGCGGGAGCTGGCGGATGTTATTGCTAAGCCACTCTCCATCTTTGAAAGGTCCTGGAGAATGAGGGAGGTGCCAGAAGACTAGAAGAAAGCCAATGTCATGCCAGTCTTCAAAAACGGCAAGAAGGAGGACCCAGGCAACTACAGGCCAGTCAGCCTCACCTCCATTCCTGGAAAAGTCATGGAGCAGCTCATCCTGGCTGTTGTCTCCAAACATGTGGAGGATAAGAATGTGACTACTCAAGAGTAGTCAGCATGAATTCACCAAGGGGAAATCATGCTTGACTAACCTAATAGGCTTCTATGATGGAATGACTGGCTAGGTAGGTGAGGGGAGAGTGGTGGATGTAATATGTCTGGATTTCAGCAGGGCTTTTGACACTGTCCCTCACAGCATCCTCCTAGGCAAGCTCCAGAAGTGTGGGATAGATGAGTGGATTAACAACTGGCTGGATGGCAGAGCTCAAAGGGTGGTGATGAGCTGTGCAGAGTCTAGCTGAAGGCCTGTAGCTACTGTCGGGGGTAAGTCCTCGGTCCAGTCCTGTTCAATTTATTCATCAGTGACCTGGATGAAGGCACAGA